TATACAGTGATATAAGTGGTATAGTATACAGTGGTATATGTGGTATCCAGCTATAATATACAGTGATATTTCTAGTATCTAACTATAGTATACTCTGATGTATGCGATATCTACCTGTAGAGCACAGTGTTATAAGAGGTATAGTATACAGTGGTATGTGTGGTATCTACCTTATGGTTGGTTCTTCATCTTCCCCCTGTTGTCCTCTTGTTAAGGATAACTTTGGAGCTTATGAATAACTTGGGATTTTTAAGTATAAAATGTTATGGCTGAGGATGACTTGGTGTGGTTAAGAATATTGGAATGTTTGAGGATAAGATGGGTTTGTGGATGTTGACTTGTGTTGTTTTTATAACTTGGGTTTGTTAAGTATAACTGAGGATGGTAGATTATTTGATTATTTGGTTATTAAAATCATCGAGTCAAAGATCGTCATGAAAATCATCGAGTCAATTGTAGTTCAACTCTAATGGTCAAACTGAGCATTGACAATTTGGACGTACCTTAGAAATAAATTTGTTGTATAGGTCGTGTTTTTATGAGTGGTAGTACAGATGGTGTGGTAGCCATAAGTAGTCCTGCTACTGGCCTCACTGTCCGTTTGATCCAAGATCATAGGGAGCACCAATCACTGATATGGACATTGCTTCACATAAGGTACAATGAAAACACTCTGCAACAAATAGAACTGAGTAAGAAATAAAAGATTTTCACTGTGTTTGTACGGGCTTATATGCAAGCGGAAGAGTCCTTTGGGAGAACTTGAGAGCAGATTAGTGCACCTGTTTGAGAGTTCTCATGAGCCTCTCCAAGGTTTGCATAAGCCTGTGCCAACACAAAAACATCTTTTATTTCTTATCTAAAATAGCAATAATGCGAAAGTTTCAGAGAATTGTTTTTATTTTTCCTTTAACATGTATTCATGATTGATATGCAAATTCTCTTTGATTGATTAATTAATTGAGCTCAGATCAGTTCACACAAACTAATACAAACTCAGCTATGGACCAATCAGTGCAAACGTTTATTGATATTGTTTTATGAATAAAAAGTCTTAACCTACTTCAAAATATTTTTTAAGCACTTTCGCAATATTTACCAAACTTAACATCTTACTGGTTATTTTGATGATGATTATTATATGGCAAGTGTCACTTCCGGCTAAAAGTGAAAATCAACTCGTAAAAACCGCAAGGACGAGAAGGCAAGCTTCGTTTCAGGTCAAATAATGCCATCTAATAATCTATTTAATAACCTCGCTTTCTCGGTCTTTACTGAGAAATATCAGACCTCTGTCTTTTTTGTACAACCTCGCCCTACGGGATCGGTCTGTACAAAAAAAACTTCGGTCCATTGTTTCTCTGTAAACACGTCGCGCTCGGTCATTAAGGGCTTTTTAATAATCAAAACCTTGTTTTTAGAACGATCATCCATCATTCAATTCGCCCAGATTGTGGCTTATTGCGAGCGCTGATCGTAGGGTTAGCGTATGGAAGGCCGATTGGTCGAAGGATTTCTGCGAGCTTGTTGATTGGTTAACTTTTCCCGCTCCAAATATAACACCTGAAGGAATTGCTTTGAAAAAAGACGATGCGGTGAGAAATTGTAGTTTGTTTCTTGTCTTGATTGTAGTTGCTCAAGATAATGAAAGATAAATAAATTATTATGGAAAACTGTTTTAATAAGTTTGAAATAAGCATGTTTTCTCCCTTTGAAGTCTGCGTATTTGCATCTACCGCCAAGTTTGGCAAGATTCTCGCCAACAGAGCCCGATGTTATTGTGTACAGTGGTTATGGTCTGAGAAAACTGATACAATTCTACAGCTTGTCCCAGAGAAAGGTCAGTATTTGTAAGAGGTCTGTGCTTGGAGCAGACAAAATGTCCATCATTGATGGAAATGTGTTCATTGTCAGGTTTTTCGAACTATTTTGTTGACACAATGGGCTTCTTGCTTGGAAATATCGCCTAAGGGTCATTTAATTGCTGTTGGAACCAAAGGTATAAATTAAGAAGTTTTTACAACGTTCTGCAAAACAACACTGAATGATTTGAAAATCCTTTCTATATCTTGAAAGATAATAGTTTGAAATCGTTAAAGTTTTTTATCTACTCCAACTTATGTCAATTTTTCTCATCTAGTTTTCTTCCATTAGTAAAACTGGATTATCGATGGTTTTCTGAGAAGAAAATTAAGATCACAATTTAGGGTTACGTATCCCACATAGTTTAAGTCTAAAAACGTCCCAAATCGACGTAGCTACGTCGGAAATATGAATCAAAAAAGCACTAGGTGAAATTCTCATTAAAAGTTTTTATTTCTTTTCAGCGCTTCTTTTATTTCCTCGAGAATTAATGACACCGAATGCTTTAGTTTACAATCACTTAATTAGGTATTTTTGCTGTCTGTAATTTTCTTTTTGTTTTAGATCGACTAGTGAAAGTAATTGATTATGATAAAGGTAGCTTTCAAGATTTCGATATGCATTGTGACTCTATTAGCCATGTGACATTTTCTCCCACCGGAGATAAACTGTTTTCCGTTGGTTTTTCGGATGTTGCTTTGTGGAAGGTGTTGATATAGAGATACGTCCTTATTACACAATCTTGGCAAAACTATATAAAGTCGAAGGCTGGTGCGCTATAGTCTATGACCCGTCAATTTAAAAACTCGACATTTTATCGGCTTATTGAGAGCAATAGAGAGATATGCGTAAAATGTATAATACATTCTTATTTATGAAAGGAAAGTAAAACCAGCAAAATTTTGTTTTGTTTGTTAAAGAGCAAAAGATTCTTGTTGCAAGAAAGAAGCATGGAATTCATGCTTTGAGAGAGACAGCAATATAATGGATGATTTTTGCCAATATAAAAAGCTTCCATACAAACAATGTTTTTAAATGAAAGAGAACTATTTCAGTGCAGCCCTTGAAAAATACTTTAATTGCTGAGGGGTGGGAGGCTAGTGCTAATCTGACTTAGCCCAAGTTGATAACAAGATTTATGATCGAGAACATGGACGCAGAATTGTGATAAGGAAATGAATTTGGTCCTTACTTGGCATATAATGGTAATACCCATCATTACGCAATACGCGAATATAAAACGACGACATTTTTCCATGTTTTTTTAACACGTCTTCATTAAGGCTCCGTTTACAATATACCGGATTGCTATCGCAGCAGGTTGAATATTCTTTATATTAAAAGGCAGTAAAATTGTTCAGCGTCAGAAACACGATCAAATAGACTAAATCTATCCGCTTAATAAGCTTTTACTCCGAACAGTTACCCTTTTAAAGCAAATGAAGACGTCGTGATGAGCAAATCCGGTATAGTGTAAACGCAGCCAAAACGTTATTTTTTAAGGAGTAATAAATTTAAATACTCCGGTATACGAACAATGAATTCATATTAACCTCGTCTACGCTGTTTTAACCTCAGAAGAACTTTTATAACGGTTCTCCTGAACGCCATACTTTCTGTAAATATCAACCCTTTTACAAAATTTCCTAGAGGCAGAAAACTGGAGCAGCCGGAGAAAAAATGCAAGCAAAAGCTCACAAACTCATCTGACATTCGCAAGCTAATTTTATTTTGACCAGGGAACGAACTCGCAAAACAGCTGTAGAATGCATTGAGTTTGACTTAGTGCCACTGTAGATGAAGTTGAGATAGATTCAGTTTAATGTTTTGTCAATCTTTACTGCTGACAAGGTCATATAATTGTTTAATTAGGCGTAGAAAGTGTGTAATTCAGATGATATATTAATTGATAAGAATGAATGCACGCAAGGCACAGAACATGAATGGACCAGAAATTGACTAGAAGCACAAATATCAATGCAGTTAGATATAGTTATAAGACCGTCAACGAGCAGATATAAGCTAAGATCGAGACTTAACTACGGATTTTACAATAATTATCAAAGTTTGCCAATATCAAATTTTTTATACCCTTAAGTGCTAATGACATCGGCCTATACGGAAAGTCCATTGTCCCCAATAATCCGTTTCTACAGCAATGGACTTGGGTTTACATTAATGAAGTTTCACTTAACTTCGTTTTTGACCGTGATATAGAGTGGTTTTTGTATAAAATATAATAAACTAAAATCTTACTGCATATTTCAACGATATATAAGGGGATACTAAAACTTATATCAGGAAGTATATGGGTATTTTCCATAATCACACTGGTAATTGAATTTTAAATATTAATGCTGACTTCTGGGATACATGTTAGTGGAAAGAATAGATTCAGACGTCAGACCTTTTCTACCTCGTGGTCGTTAAATTCATTTAGTTTCATGTCGTCTTCATTGAAACGTGCTCTGACAATATTTATTCTGGTAAGTGTGAATTTTAGCTGTTTTCATCGTGTTAAAGGGAAGTATAGCAAAGCTAAAACAATCAATACAACACAACAGCCTATTTTATTTTCGAGATAACTTAAAATGACGCTTGTTCGTTGACAAATTTCTAGAGAATATTTTACCAATTGGATTTTAAACTATTCACCATTTCAAATGCTTTTATTTTAATGTGGAATGGGTGACTTGCGTAACGTTGAACGGGGGAATATTTTGCACTAAAAGTTTCCGCTTATTGACTTGTTTTATCTCCAAAACTCTGGAAAATTAGCTTCAGTTAAATAGTTGAGGGTAAAACGTCGAGCGCCAGGTATCTAAGAACGTAGCTTGACGATTTTCCGATTTTAAAGTAAACCATATCGCTGTCTATTCGTGAATAAGAAAACAAAACGGAAAATTTGTCTTTTCACCATTCAATTCTCTATATTTGCCAGATATTTGCTTATTTTTAAAACAAAAATGGCGGACACCAGGAAATTTTACTTCCTGTGTCCAAACTCTTTCGCAAAATCATTCTTCCGAGAGGAGAATAGCAGCGATTTCGAAATAAAATCGATTTTTTCTAGGTTTTGAAAAAGAGTTGCGCGATGTCTTCCAATTCATCTGATGAAGAATCTGAACGTTCGTCCTCTTCCAGCTTTCCTGAATATGAGATATGTATGAGCGAGGTATAAATAATAAAAAATTTAAAGTGTTGATCTTCTGGTGAGTTTTCACATTAAAACATCTCTTTTTCATTTAGAAATTAGACGGTATTCCACCATCGCATGTTGTCAACATTGAAACAAATATGGCGATACGTTGTTTGTGTTATTTATCATCAATGAAAAGTTTCTTGTACAGCTACAAGAGCGATACACTAGGACTTATAAGTGAAGATTTTAAATCTGATGTCAAGAAATTCATTGATATAAAATTTGAAAACAGCTCGAAAAATATGTGTTAAGTCTTAACCCTCATACAAAATGGGCCGTCTCTTGGGACGGTTCTTTAATAGCTGCAAGTGCAGCGTTCTTTGTCGTCCGTCACACAATATTATCAATTTTGCTTTGATTGTTTTTGCCTTACCTGAGCATCAGGTCGGAAAGTTACCTAAACCGGTATATTGCATAAACTGTCTTCATGCTCGCACTTCTCAACTTAAGTTCTTCCCAGATGGAAAGAGAATTGCCGTAACTATTTGTTTGGATCCTGATTTTCCCATGACTTGGATCGTTTTGGTGTCGTGTGTATAAACTACCAGACGGTTTGTGGAACGTAGAAGAATCTATAAAGACGGACCCGACCAATGGATTGATCTTAAAGTTGAATTTAGGGAGTTGATTGCATTCAGTTAGGTTGTCCTTTTCTTAAAACGGATCTTGAGGCAAATGAGCGTGACGAGCAAGTGTTAAAAGAAAGACGTGAAAGTGGGAATGAAAGTGATGTTGAAGATTATTTAAATTTGCGGGCGGAGTATCGTGCTGATGGCTTTAGTTGTTTGGCTCTATCTCCTGATGCCAGCCGTCTTTGGCAGGAAGCACTGATGGCGAACTGTTCAATTTTGATGCTGACAGTTTAAAACTACTACAACGCGTTCGTGTTTACGATTATTATACAGCAGTTGAAAATGCTGCTATAATCCTGCATTTGGCCGTTGGGAATTTGCAATATGTGATCGTTACGGGCTGTTTTGTGTGTGGCGCGTTTTAAATCTTTCTGACAATTCTGAAAATTTCCAACTAGCCCATCTAACAAGATTGGCTGTTCACCCAAAACATCACAATTACTTTTTTTTGCATAATGATATCTGTTACTCTCCTGATGGAAAACTTATTGCTGTTACCATAGCTTGTCCGTTTGATTACATTGCTAAGACGTTTATTATTGGCTCGCGTTCTGGTGAAATTTGTTATACGTTGGATTGCGTTGATGATCCTGATCGACAGTGTCCGAAATCTGATTGTCTGACCTCGTTTTTTGGTAATTTGTGTCAAGTGGCTTCAGTCACTGGTGTTCATTCTCGCGTTTTTTTCTGGAAGTTACCTGTTGTCTACGATTTACAGACATTGTGTTTACTCACAATCAAAGCACTTATCTCTTATAATAATGTTGAAAAACTCAACATACCTTTTTGTTTAAAAAAAGAGTTGAAGTATATTTATTCTTACTGTACTTGAGAATGTCATTTAATAACTATCGTCCGTTGGGCGTTCTATCACAACAATGATGCTTAAAACCTGGACTTCTATTGGTTATAACTTGTAAACATGTGCATTTGAATCTATATTGGCTAATTCATAACACGTGAGTGTATTCGAAAACTGGACTTCTTTTGTTAAAATTATGCAAATTTGGATAGATAAATGAAATATTTATTCAAACACGTTTAGCTACCTCATCAAATTACGTTAATTTCCACCAGGGGCATATGAAGTAGAAATTTTCAAAATGATATAAAGTACATAAAAGTGCTTTATAAAACACTTAAATACGTAAACACTTAATAACTAATATTTTAAGCACTTAATATCAGAATGCGAGGTCTTTACAGAGAAATATCGGACCGAGGTCTTTTGTGTCAGGTCTGATATTTCTCAGTAAAGTCCGAGAAAGTGAGGCTATTAAAAGATTTATTATATGGCATTTATTTACTTGAAACGAAGCTTGCATTTTTTCTCGTCTTTTCTTTATTTTACCGGTTGGCTTTCATTTTCATGTTTTGTCCATAAAAATAAATCGTTTCAAATTGTATCGTCTGATATTTAGTTAAACAGTTTTTAAGTGTTTTTCTTCGACTCACATTCGTAAATAGTTTTTATTTGCGTTTGGTTTGCGTTTTGCTGTTTTCATTACAAAGTTTGTTCACATTTGAGTGTAAATTCTGCGTTTTGGACCGAGGTCTATTACAGGAGTATAATGGATCTCCAAAATGTTTCTAAGCTTATCAAATCGTACCATTTAGCCGGAAGTCACGCTTGCCATGAAGTGACAAATATTTATATATTAAAATTAAATATTTTTGATAAACAAAAGCACTAAAATACAAATGAAAGATACTCTTTATGACTAGACATAGTGTATAAGTTTAATTCATTAACAGAAATGTAATATTCCTTTACTAATGTTTAATTTTCTTTATCAATCATTTTAAGCTGCATTTCTTGTTTTAAAGGAAGAAAAGGGATTTGCTCTCTCTAACATTAGTTCGAAAGGAATGCTTCATTATAAGACTTTTAGAACGTGAGTCTAGTAGACAAAGATAACTTTCAATATTTCGTAGATTTTAGGTAATTTTTAATATGAACATAATAGCCCAACATAAAACTTTTAAAAAGCCATCACAATAATAAAATAGAGAAGGATTTATTAATAACGTTTCGTCTTTAACTTAAATAAGACATCTTCAGATTATTTGAGTTAATTTATATACACGAGGTTTTAAATACAAGCATATATTAAAGGGTGTTAAATTACATGTGAGGGGAGTAGGAAGTTTAGATGACGGAATTAAGTGAGAATGGCGGTGTATTAAAGAAGGTGAAGGGGGATCGAGTTGCCTTGGGTGTTAAGAGAGGGTTTAAGTTTGGATATAAGAAGGCTTTCATGAATCATAAGGTCGTAATTATCGGAGGAGGAAGGGAGAATTGAGAAATCATTAAAATCGGCAGAGTGAGATATATTTCTTATATGAGAAAGAACTGCAGAAGGTGGTGGACATAAGGAAGGCTTCCCTGTTAAGGGAGAGATTCCCAAGTGCTCTGATATTCTGGTGAGTAAGTGACGCGTGGTTTGGCCCACATACAATGCTGAGCAGCATCGACACTTAAATGAGTATACAACACCTGATCTCAGGAGCTTAGGAACCCTATCTTTAAAAGGAAAGAATGAGGAGAGACGCCTGAAAGAAAGAAAAACAAAGCGAACGTTGATATGAGGAAAGGCAGCATTGCAGAGTCGAGTGATTTGAGTGCGAATCTGAAGACAGTGTAGGCCAGTGAAAGGGAGACAGAAGTACATGATTTCCTTAATAGCAGTGTAAATAAGATCTTTGGGTTCAAATGTAATGTTGAGGAAGCGGTGAACATAATTGTTAAATAAGTCTGAAGGGAAGTTGTTTAAGGTGAACAATTTTCTAAAAACTTCTAGTTCGGTATAAAAGTGTTCATAGCTGGAACAGAGGTTGAAAATTGTGTGAAGTAAAGAGGAGATCAAGGAGCGTTTGTATTGAATGGGAATGAAACTATGGAAATTGGTGAAGAGACCAGTAAAAGTGGGTTTACGACACACGGAGGTGGAAAACTTGCCGTTTGAGCGAGTTATTTTTACGTCAAAAAGGGGAGCGTGTTGTCTTTTTCCAGTTCAGATGTAAAGGAGATATTAGGATGTTGGTGGTTCAGATAGGTAAGGAAAAGAGGTATGTGATCCAATGATCGGAAGAGTAGAAAGCAATCGTCAACGTAACGTTGGTAAAGAAGGTGTTTAAAGGTGGAGGGACAAATGTGAAGCCATGAATTCTCATTGAAGGCCATAAATATGTTCGCAAATACTGGGCCTAGGGGGCTTCCCATAGCCACACCATCAATCTGTTGATAAACTTGTCCGTTAAGGAAGAAATGACAGTTTTTGACGGAGAGGGAGAGAAGTTGAGTGAATTGTGAACAGTCAAGGCCTTGAAAGGACGTGTTATTGGAGAAGACGTGATTAGTTATTATGGCGATTGTTTTATCAACTGGGATGTTGGTGAACAATGATTTAACATCAAAGCTCGCCATCACAACGTTTTTGGCGTTAATGTCACTTTGTAAAAGATCTTGGACAAAAGAGAAAGAGTCCTTGATAACATGGGAGCTGGCGGAGATTGGTGTAAGGAAAGGAATAAAGAATTTGGCTAGCTTGTAGGAGTAGTGGTCAATACTAGATAAGATTGGTCTTAGAGGGATGGAGGAATTATGAATTTTATGGGAGTCCATATAGTATGCCGATACTTGTACCAGTGAGATAAAGTTCGTTGTATGTTTTTTCATTTATGCATTTTTCTGCCTTTAGTTTTCTCAGCGACGTCTTTACTTGATTCTCGCGTTTCATTGTAATTTTGATGGCATCATCATTTAGAAGTTCGTATTTCGATGTGTCCGCTAGAATTCCCATCATCTTTTATTCAGAATAACAACTCCGTTACGTTTATAAGGCTTTTTTTAAAAGTCTTATGTTGGGCTATTATGTTCATATTGAAAATTCGCTTTCCGCCTGACAAATCTCTGGCCACGATTTTAAATAAACGCTACAAAAACGGAGCACTCGAAGCGTTCAGGAAATTCCAGCGTCTTGAACTCAAGCATGGAAAAGCCAAACTCGACCTAGAGTTCCTTATTACGTGTAAAAAGCCCTCGATAATACCAAGATTCCTATGGTTTAAGGTTGCTAATCGCAGATTGCCATCCTCTAGCGCCTATCGACAATGTCAACACAAATTGTTACAAGAAGAAATAAACACAAAGCACGCTCAGATACGAGTACTGTCATCACAAGCTACGACCGCACATTCAAGACTGGTATCTTTGGTTTCAAATCTTGACTTCATTCACCTAAAACATGTTTCTGATCGTGAGAACTCAAAAAAACTAAGCCATCAACAACGCACCCAAGACCGCAAGATATTTCGCCTTAGCACTGGACAGATTAAATCAAACCCAATCAACCCTGACGACGTGGTTTTCAATTTCTCAAATCGTTTCATCACCCAAAAAGAAAAAGAAATCCTTTCGAAGGGCCTCAACTTTGCTGTTCCACCTGGCAAACTAAACTCGTGCACTTTCCTCACACCATTTGAGAAGTTTTACAATCGCCTTCAACAAGAACCTGTCCACACACCCTCTGGCTTTTTTCCTGACTCAATTAAAGCTAAACTAAAGGACATAGCTTACTCGGGTTTTCGCAGTTACAGCCGACCGAAT